GGTTTGCCCTTAGGAGGGGAGCTCCCAGGAGCGCTTGTTGCTTTGCTTCTCCTTTGAATTTTGTCAGTTACTAAAAAGGAAATTTTTGAGCGATACAAAATTTTTGGGAAAGAGTTTTTTTTTTTTATAAATTGAAATTATTTTTATTATATTAATAAAAAAGAAAAAATGGTCATTTTATTTTTATATAGTATAACAAATTCTACTTATGTTATTAGTTATTTATGCTTAAATTATTGTAAAATACTTGTTAAATATCTTTTATAGTTTATTTACTACCTATTGGCATAGTAGGATTTTTTTCTTATATATGATTATATGGCAAAATTTGATTTTGCTTATAAACAATACTTATAATTAATGAATATTAAATAATTGAAGTAATAGTTAAAGTATTAAGAAAAAACTAAATTTAACTCATTTTATAAATTAAAAAGAATACTATTTTATTATATTCAAATGCTTGTACAATTAATATATTTGAATAAAGATTTATGACTTCTTTAATATGAACTACAGTATTACAGTACAATTGTTTCTTTACTGATCTACAAAATTCCATCATTTACAATACAGTACAGTGCCTGGCCATAGATGATGGTGATTTTCATAATTTTGAATATCAGTTATATAATCATTTTCCCATAAATGTATTTTTTTTATAAATTTAACTATATACTCTACTTTATATTATTATTAAAAATTGTTTTTTAACAATATGAAAAATATTAAAACACGTAAAGAATTATCAGATTTTGATTGTGGTCAAATAATTGACATGCATAAAGCTGGAGTCAAAAAAATGGATATTTATCATTCAACAAATTTTTCTTATACAACCATATTACATACAATTAGCCGTTGGGTAAATACCGGTTCTGCTATACCAAAGAAACATTTTGGACCTTCAACTATTTTAAAAGATCGTGATCTCCATATTCTAGAACGTATAGTCAAAAAAAATAAACAGGCTTCTATACAAGCGATTACTCAAGAATTTAATTAAGGTTTAGAAATTAAAATTTCAGAACGTATTATTCGACGTTGCTTACATAATTTGGAATTAAAGGCTTGTGCTACAGTATTTAAACCATTATTGTCTAAAAGACATGCAAAATCTCGATTAATTTGGGCAAAAGATCAAAAAAAAAAGAATACAAATTGGAAGCATATTATTTGAAGCGATAAATCTAAGTTTAATTTGATTCATAGTGATGGATGTATACTTGTTCGACGTCGACCAAATGAAAAATATTTAATTGATTGTATACAACCTAAAGAACAAGGTGATGGTAGTTCTGTTATGATTTGGGGTTGCTTTTGGTATGGTGGACTTGGACCACTAGTAATTATTGATAAAAGTATTATGCAAGATGTATATGTTAATACTCTTGCAAAGTATTTTTATAATTGGTATCAACAAATTCAAACAACACATAATGTTCAACTTACTTTACAAGATGATAATACATCCGCACATCGTGGAGCTTATACGGAATGGTGGAAAAAACAAATGGATATTGATATTATATCTTGGCCTGCAAAAAGTCCAGATTGTAATCCCATTGAAAATATTTGGGACGAACTTGATAGACGTATTCGCAAAAGAAAATATCTACCTAAAACTTTAAAAAGTTTAAAACAGGCTCTTAAAGAAGAATGGGAAAATATTCCACAAAAAACATATCAAAATCTTGTAGTTAGTATGGAACATAGAATAAATGCCGTTATTAAAGCTAAAGGCTTTTATACAAAATATTGATTTTAAACTTAAATAATGTTTTTAGATATTTTTTATATGTTTTTATTATATTTTATAATTATGTATGCTTTTGAATAATAATAAAATTATAGTTTTAAAACATAAACTAAAATAAATAGATTAAAATTAACCATGACTTATGGCCAGGCACTGTATATCGAAATTATGCATGGATTATTATAAAATTGCTTCCCTGGATAATGGACACAAATTACTATTGTAATTTATAAACTTATACATTTTTATGATTCGATTATCTGAGTAATAAGTCCGAATCCAAAGTTTCTTAAATAAAAATACTTTTATACCATTAAAATTTTGCTAATAGACATTCACTCCATAAATTCACGATGAAGAATTTTATTTTTAATAGTTATTATGGCCATTGCGACCTTAGACTGCTTCGCCTACAATATAGAAACTGTGAAGTGGAGTAGGGACGAATTATCAGATGTCCCTCCTGCGAGAAAAAAATATTATATCGTATAAAAGCAATTCATCTTTGATAGAAAGAGATAATACTTATTATTACTAATGCCAATATACAACTTATTGCTGCCCTGATGGCTTAGATTATGTTGGAAACACGTTTAGTGAATGTGGCCCCATGGGTATAGATTGTGGAGACAGTACTTGTTGTTTGCCAGGTCATACTTGTTGCGGAAATGGTTACTGTTGTAAGGTGGGCCAGATTTGTGCTGGAATGGGCTATTGTGGGGAATCAACTCCGACATTATCACAAACTCCAAAGGTAACGAAAACGTTAACCCTACAAATAAATACGAAACGTTAACTCCATCAACGATAACAATAACTATCCTAATGGTGAAATCAGCAATATTGAAGATCACAACAACATCGGCAGAGACTGGTACCACGTCAAATTCGTACTACGTTACTTACACAATGGCAATTCCAAATTTAACGCGAACGATTGTCATGTCAAACACAATCACTTCAATGGCTTCGTCCCACACAAAAAACAAAGTCATGTCAGTGAAGCTATTCTTAACCACTCTTATCGTCTTAATGAGTATAGTTAGGATAGTTTGGTTTGACATTGATTATTCTTAGCTTATAATAAATAGAGTTTTTATTACAATTATTAGAACAGTACATTTTCTCAGAAATTATTACAGTATTTATCATTTAACTTAAATAAAATAAATTTACATATATCTACTATATATTCAGTCAACCTTCCATTTACTTTTAATACGGATTAATATTGTAGGTGTTAATGTAATCATTTTGTTAAAAAAAAAATTCTTTTTAACAAATTTCAAATCGGGTCGAGATACATTACATACAGTATAATTTTTAATACGTATTTAATATTTATAATTTAAAAGGTATTTTGTACTAAATTATATGCAGCATACTGTATGTATTCTCACGAAACTTGTTTATCATTATCTTTGAAACGTGAATTTGTTTTCTAATAATTTAATAACTAGATTTTTTCTTGTTTATAAGAAATTACAGTTGAAATCTCCTTTTCCATATCCATCGTTTTGTTGAAGTTAATCAAAGTAACAAAACCTAAAGAATATATGGGAAAACAGGAAAATTCTATAGATGCACATAAAATTATTTATTCATCCTTTCGTTGTATTCTCACCTAGAATTACTCATTATTACGTTTCTATGTTCAATCTTCGAGTGATCATTGGTTACATCAGCGGAGATTGCGTCCCGATAGTGTGGTTTCTACCTATAACACAAAATAAAATTTCTTAATATGGATTTTATGTTTCAATGTAATTTTTACGATAATGATTAAAAATTGTTGCATAATACCAAAGATTTTAAATGATGGATTTATGAACATTCTTTGTCAGATCGCATAAAGAAAGAGAGCATTTAAAAGAAGCATGTACAGTATTGGGACATTCCATTATGTCGATCTTCGGAAAAATACAGTACTATGGTAATTAACCTTTATCGTTTGAAAAGAGAAAGCCTTCACGCATTAATTAATTTCTATTAATTATACGATTCGTGAACGGGTTTCAAGCAAAATAAGTCAAAGATAAGGGAGGACTTTGTTATCCATGGATTTGCATAGCGAAAGCGCATTTATTATATTACGTGAAGTTTAATTACCCATTTATTTACCAGATAATAAATTCCATAGTCATTTAATATATTGTGTAATTAGTAAATCGCTTCTTGGGAAGATGGAGTCTTTCGCTTATAAATAGGCTTGAATTTGCCTACTTTTATGCTTCAATAAGTTTGAACAGCAGAAAATTTCATAGACACCTTTAAACCTTCATCTTTCCGAATCCTATTATATTTAAATCTGTTGTCTTTAAAAATATCTCGCGCATCAACTTTTCTTATCAGAATTTTCACTCCTTAAGATCCTCAATGAAGAATTTTATTTTAATAATCATTCTGACTATTGCGACCTTTGACTGCCTCGCTCTTAACATAGAAAATTTAGAATGGAAAAGAGGCAAGTTATTCAATGCCCATCCTGTGGGGAAAAATATTAGACCGCACAAAAGCAATTCGTCTCTAGTAGAAAGAGATTATATTTATATTTGTCCGATCGGATCTTACCAATGCCAAGATCAAGACTATTGCTGTCCTTATGACACAGCTTGTGTTGGAGGAGATTTATGCAGTCAATGTGGCGTCAACGGTGTAGTTTGTGAGGACTTGATTTGTTGTTTTCCAGGTTATGTTTGTTGTAGCTTTGGTTGTTGTGAAGAAGGATCGGAAACAATACTACAACCAACACGAAAGCCAAAACCAAATAAAACTCCACAAAAGGCAAAGAAAAATCCACCAAAGGTGAAAACGCCTTCTCACTCAGAGAAGACAACGTATGATTCACCAACAACGTTTGCTTCACCAGAGGAGGCAACAACATTTACTTCACTAGAGGAGACAACAACATTTACTTCACTAGAGGTGATAACATCGTTTTCATCGGAGATCGATTTCAACACAAGTACAGATACAAATGCAAAACCCACATCAAAATTTCCCAAATCAGAAGTGACTACTTCAGTTCCGAACATAGACACGGCCACATCAATGGCTTCATTCAATGTAATAAATACAGCAATGTTAGTAACTTCGTTATCAATAACCCTTTTTTCTTTGCTTTTCAATAAATGTGTTTAGAATTATTTGGCTATGTACTCTTAGATTATTATTATCATGTTTAGAATTATTTGGCTATGTACTCTTAGATTATTATTATTATGTTTATGAATAGGCACGCAATATCAATATGTATTTTATTTCTAACTAAATAACTCATTAAATATATCATTGAATAACTTTGGGGCTAAAAAAAAAAGGTTTTAATAATACGCATTTGATAATATTGTATTCAAAATATTAAGGCGAAATTACGCGACGTGATAGCGCGTTATGTCTGGCAGGTGAAAAAATCTAAAATAGATTCCGATTGATAAGTAAATCTCGGATTGCGTGACTGGCCGGATTGTATTGGTTGCAGTCAAATTATAAACCTACTATATATTAATAGCAACAAGAATTTCTAATACATCAACTGTGGAAGTTTGTAAATAAGTTTAATGTTTATATTCGGAAGAATTTTTGTAAAAGTCAGAAGTTTAGATAATATATCATTGAAACTTTCTTTGAGCTTGTTTTGGAAGATTGAAAATTAATAACGAATTAAGATTTTCTAATAAAATAGTTAATGAAATAAGAAAAAAGACTTTTTAATAAAGAAGATTACTTATATCTATATTTTTGAGATATGCGATGGTATATATGGGCAATTATTTTCGAAGGCGGACCAGAAATTTTCTGGCGTGATCCTAAAATTTATATTATATATGTATTGTTTAA